TTACATATAGTATTCATAGCTTCTATAAATATTGTATTCTATTACTGTACTCTACGTATTCATAAATTTTTAATATTAATAGTTTTATTTTTGCCAATTTAATTATGTAAACTAATTTAGGAGGATACGTGCATTTCCTTGTACATTAAAAAATAATATGTCGCGATTAATAAATCTTATAAATAAAGAAAATTTATTTTTAGTAAGTCTATAATTTTCCCGAACAGATCATTAGTCATAAAGTTGATGACACGATGTTTAATTATTATTGTTTAAAAATGTGTATGCATACAGTAATGTAACATATTGTTTGCGTGTACAATAACGTAAATAATCGTTTTTATTAACATCATTAATATAAGTATATTAACATGATTAATTTATTTTTATCAATAATAAGGGGTTTCCCATATCGGCAGTAAGGATGCTCCAATTAATAAATTTCCGTATCATGTGTCATTGAGATACTTTGATATCCACAAGTGCAGTGGATCTATTCTTAATAACTATAACATATTGACGTAGCACATTATATTACCGAGTAAGTTAAATATTTCGAATCTGTAAAAATATATATTTATTAGAATTTAATTTTAAAAAAAGTCTATTTATACTTTTAACATTTTAATCAACGAAGTATTTTTATCATTAATTATGATCATAAAATGCATTATCATATGTTTAACATATTTTTCTAGATAAAATGTGAATTTTTATTTTAAAAGTAATTCATAATTAATACATTATTTCTGTTGGCATTCAAACAAAATTTATAGCAGACATTTTCTATTTTTAACAACTTTAGATATCCGAATATTATATATCCTTCTTTATTCTTAGTTCAAAAGAATTGAATTATCTAAAAGTCCATGTTGGCACAAATTCTTTGGATATACCAGGAGCAGTTTATGACATAGAAAGTGTAAGCGTCAACTCTCAATATGATGAGGAATTAATCATTAATGATATCGCTTTGGTTCACCTAAAAAATTCTATCAGGCAAAAATAAAACTATTAATATTAAAAATTTATGAATACATAGAGTACAGTAATAGAATACAATATTTATAGAAGCTATGAATACTATATGTAACGGATACTTAAATTATAATTAAGAATTTATGTGTGTGTGTGTGTGTGTGTGTGTGTGTGTGTGTGTGTACAACAGATTAGTGCAACCGATAAATCTTGTAACATCCGATAAAGAACTCGAGGGCAAGCCATGCACATTAACCGGATGGGGAACTACTTCGGTAATATCATATTCATAAGACGGAAGTTTTGCAGGTTATTTATATCCAAGGATCAGACATCCTCTTTTAGAAAAACTAGTTACTTTCCCTTTATATATGTAATAACATTAAAAGTAATGAATGAAAAAACATTTTGATAAGAATAATTCCCTTGTTGTCATATGACAGTTGCTTTGATTATCAATACAACAATGCAATCTTTTTTAGAAAAATATTCTACATAAGTTGCAAGAAATTGAATTAATAGTTTATCCGCAAAAAAATTGCAAGGCAGTACAACCGAAATTGGAACCTAGCCATATCTGCACTTTGACTACAGCAGGAAAAGGAATATGCTTTGTAAACTAATAATTATTAATCATAAAACAAATTAATTACATGTATATTTTTAATAACAATAAAATAATAAATAACGTTAAATATTAACAAAATTATATTATTATAGTATAAAAATTATGAGTTTAATTATATTGTTACATAATTACACTTTCTCCTTAACACTGAAATGGTTATAACTATCATTTGCAATAAACAATTTCTTACTATATATAAATACTGGCATTTTATTATTAATTTCATCTTCATTCCAGGAAGATTCTGGTGGATTATTGGTGGTTAATAAATCTCAAATTGGAATTATTCCCTTTGATCCTCCTTGTGCATTTGGATACTCAGATGTTTATACAAGAGTTTCCAGTTTGAGATTTTGGGTCAAAGCAAATTTGAAAAAATAAAAAATGTTATTTAATTTATAAAATAGTATTTTATGTTTAAAGTAGAAGAATTAGAGATGGATTATATATTGTAATTTAATTTTTTTGTATAATGTTTACTGTGGAAAAACTTCAAAAACTTTAAAATATTATCCAACTTCGTCCCGGTTTGCAGGATTTATTCCACAAATATTATATAAATTCGGTCATAGAATATTTAACGATTTTAACTTGTTTATTATAATTTAATATTATTTGATTTATAATTTAATTAATAATACACTAAAAAAAAATTTTTTTATGGAATATACGCTTTCTCTATTAT